GTGCGACCACGTTGAAACTCGTTAAACTAATTTTTGACGGTCGCCATCGAAGGAGAAGAGTCACCGTACACAGCACCCAAGCGCTTTTTGATTTCGCTGCGTGATTTCCCTTCCAAAAACAAGAATCGAATCACCGACCGATACTGCTCTTTTTCCATTTTTCAAAAATCAACGGACACACTTGCTTTCACACGCTCTCAAAAATAAACTACAACTCCGATCCGGCTGAAATCTTGACAGTAACCATCGAGAAGGTTTTACTACGTGATAGAATATTTCTTTTGCGAGAGTGGCGCCATCGGGTGGTGAGGCTAAGTACTTATCGGACCACCCTCATATTTTGCGCTATTGTGCGCAGTATAGTATGGTACAGTGTGTATCCATACATTAATTTTCATGTATGTTATTGTGCATAAGAGTTTCCATGTAAAAATAATTATATGCTCAATTGTCAGCTTGTCTTTTATAATATTTTATTTCATTGAATAGTAATTTTTTACCTTTCTCTTGCATAATGAATTTTGTAATGTTTTATTAAAATTCTATGAAATAAAATATTAAAAAGTTCATATGTAAACTGTTGTGTACAATAACATACGTGAAAATTGATGTATGGATATACTGTACCATACTATACTATACACAATAGTTTATGTGTAAAAGTTATATGCGCAATCGTCGACTTCCCTTGTAAATTTCGTAGTGAAAAAATAGTATAAGAGAAAGAGTGAGAAATGAACGAAAAAGGAAACGGTCGATGTCTGTAATAGTGACAAAAAAACGAATGTAAAATAGTAACGGATATGCGCTAGACAAAACAAAAGTGAAGAATGTCGGGACGGTCGAGATAAGACTGAAAAAGGAATTAAACGGTTTTTTTTTTATTTCGTAATGAAAAAAGAAATTAAAGATTTTCTTTCGAGGAAATATTATATGGAATTATACAGGGTGTTCCAGACCACCCGTACACCCCCTCTAGAATCCAAAATAATGGATTAATCAAAAACTGCTTCAGACAAAAGTTACTGGGCTTCGAGGGGGACATATCCGTACGACCTTGGCTTTGACCTTGGAGGTCATGTTCAAGGTCATTTCAAGGTCAACTTTGTTTTTTTAAATAGGAACCCCCATTTTTGACAACGAAAATCGAAAGAGCGGGAAATTTTACATCCAAAACGATATTTTAAAATTTTTTTTCATGGCCTTGAGAAGGTCGATTGAAGGTCAAATGCTTGAAAAACTGCCAAAAGTGTTTTTTTTAATTTTTAAGATATCGAAAAATGACCTCTACAAAGTTTGTTCAGAATAGAGTGGGCCACCCAATGCACCAAAAACCTTTGACCTTTAACCTCATTTTGAATGTCATTTCAAGGTCGAAGTGTTTTTTGTAATGGAAACCCCTATTTTTGACCCCGGATTCGCACATAGCGCGAGAAATCAGAAAGAAACATTCAAAACGCAGTGAGTGGAAAAAATTTATCCGGCAAAAAAACTGTACCTATGTCTCTGCTTGCTCCTCATTTAAAACAACTTGACTTTCGGTTTGGATAACCCGTTTTTTAACGGGTATCGATTTTTAACGCGAAACATTTTGTAAATGTTTCGCTAATAATATTGGATCTAAATTTCACATGACCTTAGCGATGAACGTCGTGGATCAATCGAAATTCAACATAATACCTTATCCAAACGTCGGATTTCGCGCTATGTGCGAATCCGGGGACAAAAAGAGGGGTTTCCATTACAAAAAACACTTCGACCTTGAAATGACCTTCAAAATGAGGTTAAAGGTCAAAGGTTTTTGGTGCATTGAGTGGCCCACTCTGTTTTGAACAAATTTTATAGAGGTTATTTTTCGATATCTTAAAAATTAAAAAAACGCTTTTAGGCAGTTTTTCAAGCATTTGACCTTACATCGACCTTCTCAAGGCCATGAAAAAAAATTTTAAAATACCGTTTTGGACGTAAAATTTCCCGCTCTTTAGATTACCGTTGTCAAAAATAAGGGTTCCCATTTGATAAAAAAAGTTGACCTTGAAATGACTTTGAAGGTCAAGCTCAAGGTCAAAACCAAGGTCACCACTGGATTCAGTATATCTCAGGACTTACTGGGGTGTCCCGGAACTTTTTGGACACCCTGTATAATAGTAATTTGTATAGAATTATTTATTATTATTAATTAATTAATTATTATTTATTATTATTATTAATAATAATTACTAATAATTTAAGAGTTATTTTTTATTAATAAAAAAATTTTATTTATATAAAAACGATGTATATATTTACTATTAACCCCCTTCCACTGTACTCCACTATTTTATTAATTAATAATCAGTACATATATAGATTCATGTAAGTATACATGCATACATACGTTGTGATTAATTGTGTATACAATATATATAGCATTCAAACACACTACATACACATACACACGATAACGCGTGATCTTAAAACACGCGCACACATGCGGATGAACTTGGGCGGGGGTGCGGGACTGCCGTTCTAGTCGCTTTTTGGCTGTGTAGCTAAAATACGCAATAAGAGTTATCAAGAGCTAAAAGCAGACGTGGCTCACAGTAGTTGCTAGAGGCTACGGTCTATCGATCCATAGGACGCGAGATTGATTCCCCGTGGTATCTGCTCATTTTTTTAATGAGCTAAATCTGCATTACACTGTATACACGTAAATTGCATAAATTAATTAAATTCAATTAATCATAAAAAAATTTTAATATTTAAAACGCATTTCACATTGGGCGGGCGGGGAGAGAGGCGGGGACACTTGTACATGATCTGAGGGTGCTGATCTGATAGATCATGCACTTTAGATCACTGATCTGAGGCCCCCCTGATCTGTGTCCTCTCTGATTTACCTACTAAATAGCACTAGAAATTAAAAATAACGAGTAAAACTTACGAGTAAAACTAAAAAATGTACGTCAGAAAATATTGCTTTCCTTGTGAAATATAAACTAAGAAGTGAAGAAAGTGCTGAAAAACAGTTTTTTTGTATTTGTCCTGGTTCTAATGTATCTTAACGGTTGAAAATCGGTGTAAATACGTTTCCAACTACTCCAAAAAGGATGCCGTAGTTGGTTTTTGAAAGTGGCTAGGGGCACAAATAACTATAGAAAGTCGGCTATGGCCTTTGAACAATTAAAATTGCACAATACATCTAATGATTAAAATGAATAAAAACCAACTTTATTAACTATGTAGAAAGCGAGGAAGTACAAATTTCAAAGATAATCAAAAATTATCAAAAGGTAGAAAGTACAACGGTCACTGTAAGAAATGTGAAGATTATCTGATAATAAATACAACAAAAAAGTATGAATGTTGGACATAGTCTATACTGAAAATAAAACATTATCAATGACTATCTTAGTTAAAATAGAATATTTCTTAAGTATTTAAAAAGAAATACGACCGTCAATCCGAACGGTTATTCGATCCGTGGTCGACCGCACAAATTATTTAAAAGGGATTTCGGAAGACAAAACTAATGTTGAGATTAGCTTGGGGACTAGTGATAGATAAAATTCGGAAAAACTTAGTTGAATCCCACTTCTAATTATAAAATCGAAAAAAGAAATCCAATAGTAAATTAGATGTAATTTCGGCGTTAATCCGCTCAAACGTATTAACAAGATTATCGGTTAGCTGTAAAGACGCGATCCATTATCACGACCGATGCCGAGGCTAGCTAAAATGGTTCGGGCATATATGTGTGAATGATACGCCCGAACATGCAAGAGAGAGAGAGAGAGAGAGAGACATAGGCACTGACCTTCGTAATCTGATGACCGCCTCCTACTATTCACCACTGCTGTTATTATCGTTACTATTATCCGTATCCGGTTTTTGACAATTTCTACTTTCCGCTCGGATAAACGACAGACGTCCATGTGGACTTTCATCGGTATCCTTACATATTCGGGTACCGAAAATCAACACTGACTAGGCGTAAGTCAACCACCCACAAAAAAATTTATTTGACCAACAAGCTTCTCGCACCGGGCATGTATCCATAGTAATCACAATCCAGCGTCACCGCGCCTGAAAACAACTCCAAATCCGTTGGAAAATAGACGATTCGTCTGATCTAACTGTCAAGCAACAACTCTCCCTGAATCTCTCTCTCGTCAAATTTCTCGTCGTTTCCCCTTTCCCTCAATCCTATGTTCGCCGTCTTTTCTCCTCATCTAAAGTCATCATACATACACACTCTCATCCTAAAGTGGCGAACGGACAATTGTGTAAGCCAACAGACGAATTGGCAAAGCAGTGATTTTTCATTACAAGTAATTGATCAAAAGGCATGACAAAAATATTTGTCAGAGTTTAGATTGTTGGTGTAAAATCAATTGCATTTTAAATATAATTTGTTTAGTCGTTTCTGTTTTTGCCGTAAAATCGAATGCTGCTATTAGTTTGTTGAAATAAAGAAATGTATGATAATTTGTTTAAATAATTTTCTCATAAATAATTGTAACTATCAAAAGAAAAAGCATCGGTAATTCTTTTATAGTTAGATTGAGGTTATCTCGGCTAGAATTGATTTAGGTTTTAATGGTTTAAGTCAATTTTTTGGAAATAATGAGAGATTACGTTACAAATATTTTTACATACTATTTAAGTCATCCTTAATCATATTTAATAATAAAATTATAGTTACTATGACTTTGAATTTAGTCACTTTTCGGAAACATTGTACCAAAATGATTCCATTAATTTAAATAGAAAAAAGTTATATTGTTTTGCATTAAAATTGGTAAGATAATGCCATTATTTCTATACATATACAATGAAGCAATGTTAAGGTAGTTAATAAAAATTGTAAATACTTCAAAATTTACCAAAGATTGCGATTTTTATGTAAAATAATGACAATACCCATATCTTCTCATAATCTACCCATGTCGCTCCAGGTTCCTCTATGTCACTATAGGTAACATATATATATTATTAAAAGTTTATTTCTAAACACTTACCGAACCTTTAGCATAATATTTTTCAAGCTCACGGAATAAGTCGATGAATACGTAAGCATTTTGCTCGTATAATATTCCATATGTCTTTTTAAACATCTCGTGAAAGCTCCTCTTACTGGCATTTAAGAGATCATTGAAGAAATCTTAAAAGAGAAAAACAGATATGACATATAAGTATCAATAATTGAGCATAATATGTAGATAAATAAAAGAATATACAAAAGTCTCAAGTAAATAGAATAGCAACAAATCACAATACAAGGAATTTTAGGACAAATGAAATATGGTTTCAAAAGTTCGAAATGATCAAATATATAATTTTATTACTTGAAAAAAATCATTTACTACTCTTGACATTGAAGAATCTTAAAGAGGGTGAAATAACCTTCAACAATTTTATTATAACTCATAATCAGTTCCTTTTTTAGCTAACAAAATTGAGAAGAATATATATATATTATTTTATTTCAACTTTTTGTTACATTTTGCTTTACATTTCCTACTTCACTATTTGTGTCTCGTGTCCAGTTTGTGCTAATGTATGTGTTTTGTGTGTGTGTGTATGTGCGTGCGTGTGTTTTATGTATATGTGTGCGTATGTAGGTGTGTCTGCAAATCTTGTGTCTCTATATTATGTGTCTGTCTGTTCAGCCTTTCTTCCCTTTTTTCAATTGCTTAATTTTCTCTTTCTCTCTCTCTTCGAGATCTGCCTTTACCACTCTTCTGTTTCACCCTTTATTGCTTATTTTCTTTTCGACTTCTTCCTTTGCTCCTTTCTTTTGCCTTTTCACCTCTGCCTTTCTTTTGCCTTTTCACCTCTGCCTTTCTTTTGCTTTTGCTCTCTTTCTTGCTAATCATCTCACCTGTCTTTCTCTTTATTAGGGCTTTGACACCTTTTTCTCATTTCCTATAGCTTCCCCTGCCTGACATTTCCTCAGCCTCACTTATTTTTCTTAGTGTCTTACAATTTTGTCTTCTTGTTTTCCTTTTTATTTCTCTTATTCGCTTCTTATTCTTTTCCATTTTTGCTCCATCATCCAATACCTGCTTCCTCTCGCTTGTGTAGTTGCTAGTACGTGTGTTTTGTGTGTGTGTGTATGTATGTGTATGTTTGCGTGTGTGTGCGTGTTTTGTGTATATGTGTGCGTATGTAGATGTGTCTGTGAGTCTTGTGTCTCTGTCTTCTGTTCCTGTTTGTTCTGCCTTCCTTCCCACTTTTTCCTCTACCTCTCTTTCTTTAACCTCACTTGTTTTTCTTAGGGCCTTGTAATTTCGTCTTCTTGTTTTTGTCTTCCTTTGTCCTCTTCCTTTCCATTTTAACTCCTTCATCCAGGCTATCTTTTCTTTGTTTCCTATTATTTTTCCTGTTCTTCCCCTTTCTTTTTGCTTTTTTCACTTTTTTCTACTATGTGCTTCCGATTTTCTTCCTCTTTCATACACATTCTACATGTCTTATTTTCTTCTTTTTCCCAATACCTGCTTCCTCTCGTTTCATTATCTAACCTAAACCTTTCCCTTATTTGTAGGCCTTTTATTCTTCCCTCTCCTTGAATTTCCTTTAATCTATATTTTTTCATTTCTTCTTTCAGTTCTTTCTTCTAGTTCTTTTTCTTCTTTTTTCTTCAGCTCTTCTCTTATTTCTTCCGAAAACTCTTCTCTCATTTCGTCTCCCTCTTTCCTCTCTCTATATATTTTACTTTTTTCTAGCCTTTCCTCTCTCTCCTCCTTTTTACCCTATTTATCTTTTTTATTTCTTTCCCTTTTCTTTAGATCTCTTTATGCTTCTTTTTTTATTGGGCCTACTCTTTCTTCTCTTATTTAGTTTTCATACCTCATTGCTCTTTCTAATGCTGTTTCTTTCATTTCTTGTCTTCCTGTTTCCTATCGTATTAAGTATCTTGACGTGATTCTATCTAATCCCAATAAGCAATTTATGTATTTTAGTTGTAATCTCTCTATTTCTTCGTATCTCTTCCACCCTAGGTTTCTGCTCAATACATAATCATACTTTTCGCCAGTGCGTCCAGCAGGTTCATCCCTAGCTCCCAATTTTCTCTAAATAGCTTTTCTCCTAGCCCCCATAGTCTTCCGAGTCCCATATTTATTTTCCCTTCTACCTTCTTTATCTGCTTTTTATTTCCGATATTTCTGATTTTTATTTCTGATTTTTATTTCTGCATATCACATATCCCAAGTAATTGTACTCTTTAACCATCTCTATCTTCTCACCCTCCCATTCGGATTCTTCTTCCTTTCCCCTTCCTCCTCCTCTCCTGCATTTCATCATCTTTGATTTTCCTACATTTAGCTCTAATCCCCTATCTTCCAGGTATCTTTTTAATTTTTTCAGTATCGCTTTCATTCTACTTTCACTCTTTGCCATCATCACTATATCATCTGCATATCCTAATGTCCATATTTTCTTCCTTCCTATCACTACCTCTTGTTCTTGCACCTGTTTAATCTTGACTTTCAGGTCGGCGAAGGCAAGATTAAATATCGTGGTGCTCAAAGGGCAACCTTGCCTTACGCCTTTGTAAGTCTCAAACTCCCCAATTATTTCTCCTTCAACTCTTACCTTACTCTCTGTTTTCTTATATATTTCTTCTATTATTTTTCTGATTTTCCCATTTATCCCTTTCTCTTTCATGATTTCCCATATTTTCTTCCTCTTCATCCTGTCAAAAGTAGCCTTCATGTCAGCAAAGAACGTACAGTTTTCCTCCTTTTTCCCTTATTGTCTTCCCTATTATTGTTTTTAATATATATATTGCGTCCATTGTTCCTCTTTTCTTTCTGAATCCCATCTGCGTATCGCTTAGCGTCTCTTTTACTTCTAGTTCTCTTTCCAGCTTTTTCCTCAGTATTTCCATGTACATTTTATATCTTGTATCCATCAGCGTTCCTCTGTAGTTTATTACTACTTCTTTCCTCCCTTTCTTATACAGGGTGTCCCATTTTAACTTACGCACCAAGATAACCCAAAAACTATGAGAGCTAGCGAAAAATGTTTCGAATAAAAGTTACTCGTCTCCGAGGGGGACATATTATGGTGACCTTGACTTTGACCTCGAGGGTCATTTTCAAGGTCATTTGAAGGTCAACTTTGTTTTTTCAAATAGGAACCCCTATTTTCGACCCCGGATTCGGAAAGAGCGGAAAATTCTACATTTAGATGACCTATCATGCGTGGGGTCCGGGAGACCCGCCAAGGTCATTTGAAGGTCAACTTTGTTTTTTTAAATAGGAACCCCTATTTTCGACCCCGGATTCGGAAAGAGCGGAAAATTCTACATTTAGATGACCTATCATGCGTGGAGTCCGGGAGACCCGTCAAGGTCATTTGAATGTCAACTTTGTTTTTTCAAATAGGAACCCCTATTTTCGACCCCGGATTCGGAAAGAGCGGAAAATTCTACGTTTAGATGACCTGTCATGAGTGGGGTCCGGGAGACCCGCCAAGGTCATTTGAAGGTCAACTTTGTTTTTTCCTGAAGTACCCTACTTTTTTTATCACGGATTCGGAAACAACAAAAAATTCTACGTTCAGGCAAGGTGTAACTTGTGGTTGATCATTCAAGAACATGTGAAGGTTAACTATTTTTCATAGGAATCGCTATTCTCGACCCCGGATTCGGGAAGTATGGAAGGTTGTCCGTTCTGTCAAAGTCGAGATGTAACGTGTATTCAATTCTTTATTCTCATTTAGAGGTAAAAGTAAGTTTTTGAATAAAAACGTCGATTTTTGTTTTGAACGGAGTGACGAATTTAGTGTTGAGATGAGTGATTATTAATAGTAAGCATTTTTTTAACAACTGTTGAAAAAGTCATTGAGCGTTTTTCATGTAAGTATTAACAAATTATTACCACTCTTGTGGTTAGTGTTATCTTTCAAATATGCATTACGTCTTTGATATTTCTTCACAGAATGACCAATTATTGTTAACCAAAGTTGACCTTCAAATGACCTTGGCGGGTCTCCCGGACCCCACGCATGACAGGTCATCTAAACGTAGAATTTTCCGCTCTTTCCGAATCCGGGGTCGAAAATAGGGGTTCCTATTTGAAAAAACAAAGTTGACCTTCAAATGACCTTGGCGGGTCTTCCGGACCCCACGCATAATAGGTCATCTAAACGTAGAATTTTCCGCTCTTTCCGAATCCGGGGTCGAAAATAGGGGTTCCTATTTAAAAAAACAAAGTTGACCTTCAAATGACCTTGGCGGGTCTCCCGGACCCCACGCATGATAGGTCATCTAAATGTAGAATTTTCCGCTCTTTCCGAATCCGGGGTCGAAAATAGGGGTTCCTATTTGAAAAAACAAAGTTGACCTTCAAATGACCTTGAAAATGACCCTCGAGGTCAAAGTCAAGGTCACCATAATATGTCCCCCTCGGAGACGAGTAACTTTTATTCGAAACATTTTTCGCTAGCTCTCATAGTTTTTGGGTTATCTTGGTGCGTAAGTTAAAATGGGACACCCTGTATATTAGTACTATTATTCCCTTCCTCCATTCTTTCGGGTATCTTTCTCCGTTCCATATTCCATTTAAGCATTTTGTTATAAATTTTTACAAGCCTTTCGTGCCATCCATCCACACTTCATTTGCTATACCATCTTCTCCTGTCGCCTTTTTCTTTTTCATTCTTCTTATTACCTCTTCTACGTTTATTTTGATTTCTTCACCGTCCTCCCCTTCGCTGTCTTCGGTTTCTTCCCCTTTGCTTTCTTACTTTTCTTTATCTTCCAGTTGTCCCTTGAAATGTTTTAACCATTCTTCTTTTCTTATGTTTTCATCTAATCCAATTCTTTTCTTCCTATTGCAATTCACTTTATCCCAGAATTTTCTTCTCGTCTTATCTTTTCGTATTTCTTCTGCCACTCTTTTCCTCTCAGCTTCTTCCGCTTTTCTTATTTCCTGTCTGTATTCTCTCTTTGCTTCTAGGTATTGACCTCTGTCTCCTTCCTCTTTTCTTACCTTATTTAACTCTGCCATCACCCTATCTCTTTTTATCCTACATTCTTCTCTCCACCAGCTTTTTTTCGATCCTTTTTTTTTCCTTATCTTCTTTTTTACGACTGCATTCCTCACTCTATTTTTTATTGCGTCTATCCATTTCTGATACTATCGTATACCTTCT